TTGTCAGTGTCAGGCCTGGACTAGTGAGCCACTCGAGTAACTCTCTCTTTGCCCGCATTAGTGTCCGTGGTAGGTTTTGACCAATCCTGATCGCCCTCCTGTTGAGGAAGAAGTCAAGTTCTTCAAGCAGAATGATTGGAGACTTGTTGACGTACTGTTCGTTCGGAAGGCTTGCTCATTCGGATGTCGTTTTGTCCAGGTTCCTATGTGGAACGGCAGCAAGGAACATCCGGTATTCTGCCAGTCATCCCGTTGGCTATCTATGAATGTCTTCTCTATCACTCCTGATAAAATTTGTGTGGAGGATGATGAGCAGGACTTAATCCGGCTTCTCGAGGGAGAATACGGCTTCGACGTTCTGGGCATTCCTTATCGTGGAGTTTTCGAATTCGGAGGTTCGTTGCACTGCTCCACTTGGGATGTGCGCCGTCGCGGCGGCAAACGTAGCTATTTCCCAGAATGGGCAGGTAGATTTGACCACTATCGTGAAGTTACAGAATGAACGGTGGTTTTGTATGCAGGTTGTGAGGAGGATATCGGCCTAACCAAGCTCACTCAACTTCCATAAGGTTGGCTGAGAGATTAACATGAGCAAAGACTCAGAATGGAAAAGGGCTTGCTATCTTATTTAATCCTATGATTTTGACAGTCATATGACGTGTTATGTTATTGGTTAATTACGGTGGAAATCTATTCCCAAATGAAAAATATATTCGCATCCTTCACTGCTATAAATGGTAGTAGACGATATGCTGTAACATCCAACCTCTTACGAAAGAAGCACGGTACAGAAAAGACATGAAAAGAAAGTTTATGTAACTATCAAGAGTATATAAATTCGCATATCACTACATGCGTACTATGAGCAATTAGCGCACTAACAAACAATGTAGAAAACGCACAACTTTATCACGCAGTAATAATGCAGTTAATGGACAATCACCGGTGTATAGTGACTAGAGACGCAACACTTGGTTTGAGCGTAAACGAGTAGATAGTGTTCAGTCTTCATCCGATGATGATGCAGTGACTTGCTGCAGCTGCTCTTGAATGCCATGCAGCTCCTTCTCAACGGACTGTACATAGCTCTCACCGCCGCGAGTTTCAACCTAACAAGATGCAAATTCAGTCGCCACCAAATCAATGTACACAATAAGGTATGTCTCACCTCATTATGATCCTTCACGTGCTTATCCATTTCCTTGATCGCTTGCTTCCTAGCTTTCTTGCTGATCTCTGAACCGTCGGCGAACGTCAGAGGCAATCCAGCATCGTCCCAGGACCCGTATCTGCGTCCACCATTGATGGAGCTCTCAATATTCTATTATACTACTTCGATTCGTCTCTGAGGAACTCAGCAGGGTCTACCAGAGCCTTCGTCCACCGCTGAAGTTCTTTCGTCTTCTCTTGAACTTTAGTCTCCAACTTGCGCCTCTCCTTCATACGGGCCTCACGTTTCTTCTGGGCTTTCTTCGCCTCGATCTCGCGCTTCAACGCTATCGGATCCTCCAGCGACCACACACTGAAACACAGAAATCAGTTCCCCCGACTCAGCCGTAGTCCACAGCCCGTAGACGATCCATCACCTGCTTCCATCTG